AATAGACGTTTTTTTCGGTTTATTACGCAAAATTGAAAGAAATTTCAGAAATAAGGTCGAAAAAATCGCCGGTCGAGCGTGCGCTTCGGATGGTTTTTCTACACGGACAAATATCTTAATAGAGATAAGTTTTACCTGAAAAAATTTGGCTAAACAACTAAAAGTAGGCTAGCCGTTAATGTTTCAACTTAAAACAATCATATTATAACCTTTTTTGGTTCTCATAATGATTAAAACCTATCTCAAATGAAATTCTTCTAACACGAAAAAAACAATGAAGCGCATGCGCGAACAGCGCCATCTATTGAGAAAAGCTAAAACTGCGTCGGCGCGAAAAGTTTTGAAGAGCGGTCATTAACAACAATGATCTTTCTGTTTTCATTTCATAATCACACCAGACCAAACTTGCGTAAAGAACGAGGTTTCTCCTAATGTATCAAACATGTTTGATGCCCTGATGCTCTTCTTGTTCTTTACCTTATCTTGCATTTTCCTAGAATATGAAAATTGAGGAAATTAAATGGAAAATTAGAACCGTAACGAAATCGCGCTTCATTTCTCACTATGGACATTTAGCGTAGCGAGCTTTGGAATAGATCTCTTGCTGCGTAAGACTTGCTACTCCTGCGCGACCCAGTGTATCGGCTTTTACTGCCCGAGAGACGCTTGTAAAAGCGACGGGAGCGGACGGGACTGGGGCAGGAGGACCTCGGACGCAAGTTAGGCTAGGTTAAGCTTGAGGGGCGAGAGGGGCGTGAGCTGAGGTTGGGGGGAGGGGGCGAGGGTGGAGACGAAAGAGACAGCGGCTCGCCTTACCAGGGGCCCCAGCCGACTGATTCCGAAGAGCGCTCTCCTATACCTTCCGTATAGCTCCATCCTTGTCGCACTCATGGGGCAGCTCCCCTTGAGCGCTCTTCGGAATCAGTCTGCAGGGCAGTATGCTCTGACCACCCTGACCTGCTAGCAATGGTGTGGGGGACGAAGCGTATCTGGATCGTCAACCGATCATAGCGACTCAGTGAAGCGGGAGAAATTTATGTGTTCTACATACCCGCCGTGCCTGTGCTCTGTGTGCTCCCGCATGACCCCCTGGCCGGCAGGCCGCACCCACGACTCGTCGTACTGGCTGTTCCGCGAGGGCGAGATGGCGTCCGCCGGCCTGCAGGTGTTCGCCGAGAAGGGCCATTCGGACGGGCTCGAGGCCGCCGACCACGCCGGCGTCTACGACGAGTTCACCGCGCCGCCCGTCCCCCGCGGGGTGGGCCGCACCGTGGCGGACTTCTTCCTGGACGGCAACCACTCGATGGTAGGTGGAGTGGACCTCCTCTCCTGTGCACCTTCTACCTTTATGACGGTCCCGGCTTTCCCCCCGGCCTGCAGGTGTCGGTGGCGGTGCGGGTCGTGCCGTCCCCCGACTGGTTCATCGGTGTGGACAGCCTGGACCTGTGCCGGGGCAACCACTGGATCGACTCCATCGCCATAGAGGTAGGCAACCGGCGAAGGCCCGTGTGGTGAGGTGGCCGACGGGCGCTTTGCTCCTGCTCCTTCACGCGTCAGCGTCACTCGCAATGACCATGCGAGCGTGCGCAGCCGGGCCGTTAGCTGACCGACCGTTACCGACCGCCACGCTGTGTTTGGGCAGATGGTCGGCCGTCCGATATTGCTCCTGATATGTCTCAACGAGCGGACTGCGCGCGCGCGAATGTGTGTACGTGTGTGTGTGTGTGAGTGTGTGTGGAGAGAGAGAGAGGGGGGGAGGGGGCGGGAGAGAGAGAGAAGAGAGGGAGAGAGAGGGGGA